AATTACTAAACCATTTGATTCTTGCAAGAACCCTGAGAGGTAGGTGCTATTATTATCTCCATTTTATGGATGAGGAAACTAAAGCAGACAGAGAGGTTAAGTGATTTAACCAGAGTCACACAGCTAGGAAGTGTCTGAGGACAGATTTGAACTCAGTTCTTCCTGATTACAGAGACGCACTAGAGAAGGAAATGGCAAACCACTCCAGTAAAATCTGCCAAGAAAACCTCATGGACAAAGTCCAAAGGATCACGTAGAGTCAGACACAAGTGAATGAACAAACAACAATAAGAGCAGGCCCAGGTTTCCATCCATGGCCCCACCTAGCTTCCTCCCTACATATGCTTGCTTGCTCAGTCCACGAGGGGAGTTCATGGACAATGTTCTTCTTTTTTTAAAAATTTATTATTTATTTTAAACATTCTTTTCTTTTTAAAATTTGAGTTCCAAATTCTCTCCCTCTCTTCTACCCCCACTGAAAAGGCAAGAAATATGATATTAATTATACATGAGAAATCATGCAAAACATATTTCCATATTAGCCATATTTCCCCACAAAAGCAAAAAAAGAAAATAAAGTGAGAAATTATACTTCAGTTTGCACTCAGAGTTCATCAATTCTCTCTCTGGAAGTGGATAGAATTTTTTAAAATTATGAGTCCTTGGGAATTGTCTTGGATCATGGTATTGATCAGAGTAGACAAGTCTTTCACAGTTGATCATCATTACAACATTGCTGTTACTATGCATAATGATTTCCAAGTTCTTCTCACTTTGCTTTGCATCAGTTCATATAGGTCTTCCCATGTTTTTCTAAAACCAATCCCCTCATCATTTCCCATAGCACAATAGTACTCCATCTCCATCACATGCTACAACTTGCTTGGCCATTCCCCAATTGATGAGTATCCCCTCAATTTCCAATTCTTTGCCACCACAAAAAGAGCTGCTATGTATATTTTTGTACATATAGGTCCTTTTCCTTTTCTTTGATCTCTTTGGGATGCAGCCCTAGTTGTGGTATTGCTGGGTCAAAAGGTATGCACAGTTTTATAGCCCTTTGGGCATAGTTCCAAATTGCTCTCAAAAATGGTTGGACCAGGTCACAACTCTGCCAACAGTTCATAATGTACCTATTTTCCCCTCATTCTCTTCAGCAATTGTCATTTCTGATAGGTGTGAGGTGGTACCTCAGAGTCGTTTTAATTTGCATTTCTCTAATCAGTAGTGATTTAGAACATTTCCCCCCCAAAGGACTATAGAAAGCTTTTATTTCTTCTTCTGAAAATTGTCTGTTCATATCATTTCACAATTTATCATTTGGGGAATGGCTTTCATTTTTATAAATTTTACTCAGGTCTATACTCAGTATATATTTAAGAAATGAGGTCTTTATTAGAGAAACTTGCTGTCAAATTTTTTTGATATTACTTCATTCTAACTGAATGTGTACATATTCTTCCTTCTTTGAACCAATTCTAATGAGAATGAGGTTCAAATTTTGCCCGCTACCACCCCACCCCTTATTTTCTCTTTCATTGTAAAAGTTTTACATGAGAAAATTTTCCCTGTTCTACCTCTTCCTTCCCCCTCCTCCCAGGCAAACAGGGGTGGGGAACCTGCTCCCTCGAGGCCACAGGTGGCCCTTTAGTTCCTCAAGTGTGGCTCTTTGACTGAATCCAAACTTCACTGGACAAATCCCCTTAATAAAAGGATTTGTTCTGTAAAGTTTGGACTCAAAGGGCCACACCCAAGGACCTAGAAGGCCACATGTGGCCTTGAGGCCACAAGTTTCCCATCCCTGTTCCAGCAGGTCCCTCTTTCTTCCCCCTATATTTTTTTTTGGAGAACATTCCAACATAATTGATATAAAGAAAGTCAAAAAGCAGCTCCTCTTCTCAAGGAGCCCACAGTCTAATGGAGGAGACAACATACATACAAGAAGTCCTCTTTGAAGGTGTGTGTGATATGAGTGTCCATATATTTTAAAAATATTCTTATAGTATTTTGTTCCAACCTATGCTTAAAACCATCATATGGGCATCTCTATTTATTTACAACACAGGCTGTACCATAGTAAATGCCAATATATAAATCATTTGGAAAATCATCCACAGTTTGTAATAGAACATGCCTAGCTTCTTAGGGCTCCTGCTCAGGTCCTTCACCAACTTCCACTGACAGAAATAAAATAGGCATTTCATCAATTCATTGGTTCAGGGCATGGGTATTGGCATTGAAGGCTGCAGTTGGGTAATCAGGTCTAATCCAACTCTTGACCAACAGAACCTTGAAATGCTGTTAGTGGAGTATGGGCAAGAGAGCCTTCTCAAACCACTCAACCAACTGAAGCTTTGGCAGTGTCTCTCTCTACATATACATATATGTATATATATATATGCATACATATATACGTATATATACACATATATTTATTTATTTTGTTAAATATTTCCCAATTACGTGTAAAATATTTTTTAACATTCATTTAACAAAATTTTGAGTTCTAAATTCTTTCCCTACCTCCTGATTCTCTCCTACCCTTTGAGAAGGCAAACAATGTGATATCACTTGTATGTGTGAAGTCAGACAAAACATATTTCTATATTAACCATGTTGTAAAAGAAAACATACTAAACAAGAAAAATAAAGGAAGTTAAAAGCTCTGCACCCACAGTACTTTCTTTGAGGGTAGTAGGCATTTTTCATTATGGAATTTGAATTATCTTTGATCATTGTAGCAATCATAGTAGCTAAGTCTTTCACAGCTGATCATTGTTACAATATTGCTGTTACTGGGTACAGTGTCTCCTGGTTTTGCTCATTTCACTTTCACCAGTTCATATATATCTTCCCAGGTTTTTCCAGCACTGTCTTTCTAATGCTATTGAGAAGGTCACAGTGAATAACAGATGTTCCAGGATGAAAAGGCCACAGGGAATAATGGATGTTCCAGGGCGAGACTGTGACTGAGACATGGTGGCTGCAAAGTCTAGAAAGTCAGAAGCAGAGTGGGGAGGGCAAGAACTTGGATTGGAGAGGAGACTTAGATTTACATCCTGGTACATCTTGGTAGTGACCATGGAAAAGTCACTGAACCTGTCACTGCCCCCAGGCAACTCAGATACTACAAGTGGCAAACATGAAATCATGGTCAGGATATAAATTAAAAAAAAAAACAAATAAAAGAGATAAATGCTCAGCTTTTCTTTTCTAGCCCTTTCTTGTTGTGTTATGCATGTTTTATAGGGATAATCAGGCACAATATTTTAATTTTGGCTTGTGTACATAAAACCTTTACCAATACTCTACTCCCCTGCTGCTAGTGCCTCCCCCCCCCATTAACTTGTATTTCTTTTGCATATATTCATGGAATGGGGGACTGGCCAATGAGGGCTCAGACCTACAAGCATGTGCATTTGGTGAGCCTGCTTATGAAAGTGGATGATGACACGGAATAGAGGGATTGGGTTTTCAGAAGGCCTCACAGTCTCCAGAGCACTTCTCAAAGTAATCAGGAGTTCACCTGATCACTGTCTTAATAATAATAGCTAACATTTATATTGCACTTACTATATGCCAGACACTTTACAACTATCATCTCATTTGATCTTTACAAGCCTAGTGCTCTTATTATCCTCATTTCATGAGGCAGAATTTGAACTCAGGTCTTTCTGACTCCAGACTCAGAGCTCTATCCGCTGCACTACCTAGCTGCCCCCATATAAATTTGTTATTATTTTTCCAGTTGCTATTTGCTGAAATATGGTATTTCTGAAGTATTTTCACAGAGATAGTGGGACTGAATATTTGAAATTGGGCTGTCCCAGAAAATCCAGGATGTTTAGAAAAAAGCATCCAAGCCCTCATATGCCCTTCTTATACTACTCCCCAATTTCCCTATTCCCATTTCTCTTGGGGCTGAAAATAGCCCCCAGACTCTTCGCTGTTTTACATTGGTCCCATTTCATGAACGGACAAACCTATGTACAAAAAGTGACTCTCTTGATGTTATTGGGGCTCCTTTATAAACCAAGAATCTATGAGTGAGAGGGTCAATCTTGAAAGCTAGGAGGGCCCTAGGTCCCCCAGCCTCCTTCAGAAAATCTGAGTGGATAAGGTGTGGCCAAGAACAAATAGTTAGGGTTTATTAGCGGCAATGAGGCCGGCAGCCCTGAAAGCTTTTTAATCTAGGGTCGCCAAGCTTCAGCTCCAGGATATTCAATCACTGGATGGCATGTCCTGTTCTATTTCCATTTCCTTAGCTTCCAGGAAAACCTGCTCGGGTTGGGAGACAAGGGAGCATGCTAGTGGTTAATGAGGATGGCAGTGGGGTGTGTTCTCCCTTTCCCCCTACCTCCCCCCAAGGTTTTTTTCTCTCTCAATGTGGAACAACAGTTTTCTCTCATTCTGTTTTCCTGGAAGCTGAAGAAGTGGAACAGGCTGCACAGGGCCCTGATTACAAAGCTTGGATATAGAGTGGGTGGACAGCTCTGTGGCCACAAATTAAAAAGCTCTTTGCTGCCTGCCTGCCTTGTTACTCCTAATCACTTCTATGGCCTCTACTCCACTATCCTGCTCCCTTTCCACCCCTCCTCACCCTCCTCCCTGCTCCATAGTCCACAGAAACATGACCATTACCTATTCGCCTAGCTCCCCCCACACCTTTTCATCCAAAGGAGCAGTGGAGCACCCTGGACTCCTCTTTGTCATAGGTTCTTAGGCTGAACCCCAAGTTGGCTGAACCCTTATCCTTGGTTCAGGACACCCAGGGCTTTGAAAGCAGAGATGAAGGAGGCCCCTTTGCTTCAGATCTCAAGGGGGTAGTTCCCTGGCCCCAGTCCCTGTACTGCTCACCCTAGGACACCCCCCCCTTCCAGTGCTGGGGACAGAGAGGGCGGGAACCTCAGGGAACAATGTCTCTGGCTCAGGGATGACCCCCTCATTTCCCCATCCCACCAAGCAGTCATGTGATCTGCTTCTTCATTAGGGCCTGGATATATAAACAGGGGGGCCACTGGGAGGGCAGCTGGAAGAGGATATTTCCAAGGAAAGAGACAAGGACAAATTCATAGGCGGTGAGACCCCAGGCTTGAGCCTTTTAAATTCTTCATCAGGGAGGGAATGGCTTTTGGGACCCCAGCCCCATTATTGCTATCTAGGAGTCTATATAGGGAAAGGGTGGTGACTTCTTCAAAGAGAGAAGAGTGTCACTCAGGGTAAGGGTCAGGGGACAGTGGAGGGGGTGGTATGAGGTGAATGTCTGGGAAGTCAAAGGGATGAGGGGATGGGTGTTGGGGACTAAGTGCTGCAAACTGGAAATATGTCAAGAGCTATGAGACTCAGGAGCCCCTGCAGCACAAGGTGAGTCCATGTTTTCCCAATGCCTGTGCTAGAACATGTTGAATGCTTTGCTGCTGAGCTGGGCCATGCTGCAGGGATTGCCCACCACCTTGGGTACCCAGCCCACTCAGCAATACCCAGAGGCCATCGGCTCCAGACTGAGTAGGTCAAGTCAGGCTCTGTACCCTGGGCTCCTGCTCTCAGCCCCTGCCGCCTCTCTAGGACTTTCAGGTCAGTACTGAAACCTGGGGAGTTATAAACAACCAAAGGACCAAAGATTTCCTTCTGAGGCTCACAGAGCCAGCAAAGTTAGGAATTTTTCCCCTTTTCCCCAAGGCTGGTGTCCACCCACCTGAGAAGCTTGAAAATACCTCTAAGATAATTCAATCCAACTCCATCATTTCACAGCCAATGAAACACACTTGTCCAAGATTAGATAGGTAGTGAGTAGAATAGTCAGCAATTGAACCCAGGTCTCCTCTACCTCCAAACCCGGTACTCTTTCCACTGAACCATGTTGGAATTAGGGACTATAGCCCATTTTTAGAACTAATCCCTATTTCTTTCTGGTGCTGAATTCCGTGTCCTCCCCCACACACTCCTTTTCATTTTCTCTAAGTTTTGCCCAATCTCCCACTCCAGGGATAGATACTGTAGTAGGCTGGGCTGGACTGGACTAGGTAAGCTGCTGCCTTCCCTTCACCTCTTCTCTACCTGCCAGGCCCTGGTATACAGCCAGAACTGGAGCAGATGGCATCAGAGCTGGCAGAAGAATCCCTCATGCAAGACACTGAGGCTCTGGCACCTGGGGTAAGTATCCCTGCATGAAAGGAAGAAAGTCACAAGAGGTAAACCCCTGGAAGAAGAGAGAAAACACTTAATTTCTTCAGCCTCTCACCTCCTAAGGTCACAGGACTTAGATTAGGAAAAGATCTTAAAGACTGTCTAGACCTACTCCTTCTTGACAGATGAAGATATTAAATCTCAGAGAGATTAGAGATACCTTACTTGAATTCACACAGATAGTAAGAGAAAATACAGTATAATGGAAAGAATACTGGAGTCAGGAAAGACCTAGGTCAAAACCCTTCCTCCCATATTTACTAAGAACATAGTAGGTCCCTAACAATTTTATAGTTGTTGAATTGAATTGTATCCAGTAATTCCTACTTCACAGTTTTGTTGTAAAGTACAAATGTTAATGCAGGTGAAGTATTTTGTACATCTTAAAAGCGCTGGTAACGTTAGCTCTTACTAAGCAGCAAAACCAGGATTTGAGCAAAGATCTCTAACAAGGGAAAAGGTTGATGGAGCTCCAGTAGGAGAATAGGGATATTTCACGTTCCAGCAGCCTTTTCTCCAGAATCTTAGCATTTCAGAACCAAACCAAGAATCGCTACCATCCCCACTGTTTTCAGGTAAAATACGGAGTCAGAGGTCCTCCTGGGTTGTAATCTTCTCTTTGAAACTTACTACTGTTTTGCCCTGGGTAAATCACCCTCTCTGGATATTTTCCCAGCTGTGAAATGAGGGAAGTGGAAGTTTTTTTAATTAGATGAGTCCCTTCCACTTCTAAATCTCATAACGACAAACCTAGAAATGCTGGGATCACTTTTTTTTCCTTCCCCTCGAAATTTGAGGAGATTCCACAAGGGGTGATGTATGGTGGCCATGGGCATCCTTTGGGGACTCGAGGGCAGTGAGCTCATTGCCAGGCTGGTATGGTAGCTTGAGCGTCAGAACCCTGCCCTCTCGGTCCTCCGCAGATGCCGGGTCCCATGAGTCGCGAAGATCGCTCCCCGCGCCGCTGTGTTCGCCTTCTCGAGTCCTGCCTGGGTCACCAGGTTCCCTGCTGCGACCCGTGCGCCACCTGTTACTGCCGCTTCTTTAACGCCTTCTGCTACTGCCGCAAGATCAGCACCAACTACCCTTGTAGCCACAATTAGTTGGGCTAGGCTGAGGGGGCAGAGGGAAGTCAGACATGTACAAGCACCAATAAAGGCTCCCTAGAGCAAAGCTGGAAACCCGTGGCTATGAGGCTTTTTCTTAATCCAGGATCTAGGGGTTCTGGCCAAAACAGGAGCAAACTTTGCGCTCAGGGATGTACTTCGGGAACTCTGGTGGCAGAGGCAGGGCGCTGACCTGAGATTTCCTGATTGGCAAACAGGACTGGGGATGGGTAGATGGGGAGCAGGCACTATCTCCGCTGGGGGCAACCTTCCTGAAACAGGTCCTTGTCCACGCACTTATCCTTCCCCGCATATCACCTCTTCTGATTTAGCCAATAACAACTACTCGAATTTCCGTAGAGCTTTAAGTTTTCCAAAATACTCCATCAAAAACCAAAAACACCTTTGGGGAGGATAGGTAGTATAATTATCTCCATTTTACAAATGAGAAAGATAGGGTTCAGGGAAGTTAGTATGCCATTTGGGTGACATTTGAACCCACCACATTCTGACCGACTAGATGCCTTTTCCCTAACTGCACACTTGACCCTTTACCTATCCACCTCACTTCTACCACAAACTCAGCACATCAGCACCTTGGCCTTCTTCTTCCCAGCACTTGAAGAAAAGTATATCTATGTATTTATTAAGAGCCTTCGATCTTGACCAATAGCATTAGGTGCACTGGGAGAGATACAAGCATGACCTATAGATTTGGAAGGTACCTGAAATCAAATTCCTAAGCCCCTCGACAACATGCTTGACAACTTGTCATCCAGCCTTTGCTTGCAACTGGGTGACACAGTAAATAGAGCCCAGGACTTGGGAATCAGCAAGACTCAGACAGTCCTTAGCTGTGTATGACCATGGGCACGGCAGTTCTCTGCCTCAACTGACTCAGCTGTAAAGCGGGGATAATAATACCACCTAACTCAAGAGTTGTCTTGTGGACAAAATGAGATAATACTGGCAAAATGCTTTGCAAACCTTAAGGAACTATTACGGTAGTTCTTCAAATATGTGAAGGCATCTAGAATGTCTTTTTTTTTTTTGGAGTGGGGGGGAAGTTAGTAACATTTTATGGAGGCAAGGGACCATTTTCCACAGAATCAATATCAGAGCTGAGCTGGACCTTCGAAGGTCACATCTGGGAAGGAGCCTTAAGAGAGAAAGTCAGAGCTGGAAGGAACATTTTTCTTGCCCAAGCCTCTCATTTTACAGCTGAGGACACTGAGGCTCAGAGAGGGGAGGGATCTTTCCCGGAACCACACAGCTAGTCATTGGCAGCGCTGGAACTAGAAGCCAGGTTTCCTAATAACGGGTACTGCGAGCTTTCCATTACTCCAGGAGACCTTTCTCACTCCCTCCAGGCTGGGGGGAGTGGAGGAGAATAAATTGAATTAGCGTCCCTCCCCACACACCCCGAGAGGCAGGGAGAGCGACGAAGCTCCTTCAACACACAGCGCCTGGGAAGGAGGGGACGCGCAGGTCGCGAGGTAGAGACCTCAGCAGTCTTGTCCTGTAACCCCCTTCCATTGACCATTCCCACTGATCTCCCGCTGGGAACTAGAACGGTAGAGCACGAACTTCCGTGCACGCACAATGAGGCATTCGCTCTGCCCATGCGCACTGTTTCTCGTGAAGCCAAGCGGCGTCGTAAGCCAATAGTTCTCCTCGGCCCTGTGTCATGTGATCGGGGTGGAGGGGATTGTCATCTGACTTGGCTGTCAGTGCCGCCGCCCTGGCGACGCATCACCTGATCCGTGGGGGCGGGATCTCATGCCCGGTCCGGTTCCGGTTCGGCAGTAGTTCCCCCCTTAAACTCTTAGAGTTCCCGGAGCCGCCGCTGCCACGATGTCTGCTTTCCCCGAGCTCTACTTTAACGTAGACAATGGCTACTTGGAGGGCTTGGTCCGGGGCCTTAAGGCCGGGGTGCTGAGCCAGTCGGATTACGTCAACCTGGTGCAGTGCGAGACGCTCGAGGGTGAGCGGGGCCCGCCCTGGCCAGGGGGAGCGCGAGGCTGGGCCCGCCGCTGGGAAGGAGGGGGAAAGGCGAGGGCTCGCTGCCCGGCTAGGAGCAGGGCCCTCCCCGGGCCAGGCTCGGCCCCGCACGGAGCCCAGGCCGCGCTGTCCACTCTCCACTCGGGTGCTAAAGGGAGTCGGGCCGGGGGAGAAGAGGAGTCGCCCATGGGAGTGAGGGGGCTCAGCCTTCGCCTGGTTCAGGCCGAGGGGAAACCGAGGCCCCGGTGGGGAGCACACTCAAGGTTTAGAGGGCTCTGGGGTGGGCTATGGGAAGTGGGGTCATGGGAAGACCTGGCAGATTTATCGAGCTTCGCACCTGGACTAGAGAGGAAAGGGTGGACATGGGGATGGAGCTGGGGCTCGCCGCCTCCTCGGATTGCCGCATCTGCTTAGCCGAGCCCATCTCATCTTGGCAGCTTCCTTCTTCCTCTTATAGCCAGCTCTGCCTAGCAGATGGAAGAGGCTTTCCTCCGAGCGGGGCTGGTCGTGGCATCTTCTCCCGCCCCCATCACTAGCAACCTCCTCCCTCCCTCCTTTCTCTGGGTCTATGTAACCTTAATTCCAACCCGCCATCCTCCGATAAATAAAACCCAAGACTGTCTAGCACCTTAATCGAGGAGGCCAATGTCCAGCACAGGAGAGGGAGGAACGGAAAATGGGAGGAGTTTTCGAGGAATGGGTCTGTGTTGGTGGCATTACGCTGTGGGAGGAACACGAGCCATGTTGGTGTTTGTTGCGGGAAGACTGAGTTGGGGATTGAAATCCCTGGAAAATGTAAGGCTGTAAGTTGAACTCTTGCTGAATTCCTTCAAAGGGCAAATATTCAAGATATTCCTTAGAGGCAGTATGTATGTGTGGCTCTCCAGGGAGTGTGAGTGTGTGGAGACACTCCCTGGTTACTTCAGAGTTTCTGGAGTGGGCTGTTGGGAGAGGGAAGTTGCTGTCTGCTGGAGCTAAAAATCGCAATCAATCAATCAATCAATCAATAAATACCTTCAGGCAATATGCAAATAATTTCCATACCCTATCTCATCGCCAGTGCACATGAATGAATTTGCCTCTTGCCTTTCCCTCCCCCCCTTCACACACCTCTAAGATGATTTCTTTTCTACTTTTTCTGTCTTTTAACTATTTCAATCTGATTTTGTCTCGATGAGATTGGAGGTGGGGTGGGAACAGGGTATTTTTGTCCTTATTTATCTAGAGATTTTCCATTTCTGGAATCCATTTCATTAAGATCCATTTTTGAAAAGAGTCTTTGATGAACCGTAAAGTGAACAAATGAGTTCAAGGACTGGCTATTATTTCTGGGACAAAATGTAATCTGTATAGTCTGGCATTTACAGACCTTCAAAATCTGGTGACAGCCTTCTTTTCTGGTTCCAGCCGAATTGGGTGCTACTAATTGTTTCTTGAACCAGGCATTCCAGCACCCATTTCTGTGCTTTTGAACAAGTATCTTCTCACCTTCACCTCAGAATCCTTGGCCTCCTTCAAATTGCCACTTCTTACAGGAAGCCTTTTCTGTTTCCCTCATTTGGTAGGGTTCCCTCAGTAACAGCTTAATTCTCTAACCTTAGAGGCAGCTCAGTGTCACTGTGGATTAGAGCACTGACCCTGGAGTCAGGAATATCTGAGTTCAAATCCAGGCTCATACACTTATTAGCTGTGTGACCCTAGGCAAGTCACTTAACCTCTGTTTGCTTCAGTTTCCTCAACTGTAAACTGTAGATAAGAAGAGCCCTTACCTCACAAGTTTGTGAGGATCAAATGAGATAATATTTGCATAGCATTTAGGATACTGCCTGGCACATAAAGAGTGCTAGATAAATGCTTAATTCCTTCCCCCTCTCCCTCTTCCGATTACCTTGTATTTGCTTATCTGTATGTGTGCTGTAACTTCCCCATAGAATGTAAGCTTCCTGAGGACAAGGACTATATCGTGTTTATCTCATTTTCCACAAATGAATATTCTCAGCATCCAGCAATGTGCCTTACACGGCTTCTCAGTCAGCCACCTAGGTTCAAATCATCGGACATTCTGAGCTCCCGTAATCCAGCCACTTTTCAGGTCTCCCAGATTCTACCTTCAGAAACTGCAGTTACCACTTACAATGTGGCTGCATCCTGCCTTTCCTGGATTATTGTACTCACTTTTCATCTCACCCTTTTCCTGCCAGACTGGTGACGTTTGTTCCTTGTACTTACATTCTGTGTATTTGGTACCTTTGCACTGCTACTCCCTAAGCCTGGAATGCGCTCCCTTCTGGGGAGCTCTTGGTACCCCTAACTCCTTACAAGGCTCAGTTTAGCTTCCCCATCCCATGTGAGGCATTTCATGAATTCCTCCCTGCTCTTAGTGTTCCCACCCCAGATTGACTTTGTATTTACTTACCTGTATACGTATTTTTTTCCCGCCTAGTACAACGCAAAGTCCTTGAGGACAGGGACTGGGTTTATCTTTGTATCCTCAGTGCCTAGAAGAGTACCTTCCACACAGTAGGCAGTTAATGTTTGTTATAGATAATTAATGTTTTAACTGTTGGATGGGCAGTGTAGTATACTGGAAAGATCTGAGTTTGGAGTCAGGAGATAGTTCAAATTCTGATATCTATTCCTATAGGCAAGTTAGCCTCTCTGTTCCTTAGTTTCCTCATCTGTGAAATGGAGAGTATAGCTGTACTACCTACCTTACAGGGTTATTGCAAAGCTTTGTGAACATTAAATCGCTATATAAATGTTCCATCATTATAGTCTCAACAATCTACAGGTGGCTCAGAAGGGAGCTTTGGACCTAATGAAAGATCCCTAATGGCTGCCATCATCCAGCAGTAGATAGACCCTTCTATACCTCTACAATATTTCTTCTAGACCAGGGATGGGGAACCTGTGGCCTCAGGCCCACATGTGGCCCTCTATGTCCTCACGTTCCACTGTTTGACTGAAAGCAAACTTCACAGAACTAATCTCCTTAATAAAAGGATTTGTTCTGTGAAACTTGGACTCAGTCAAAAGGCCGCACCTAAGGTTCCCCACCCCTTTGCTAGACCCACAACCACTTACTTTAGCACTCTTTCTCTCTGCTGTGGGTTGGGGTAAAAAGTTCACTTTCTCCTCCTCCTTACCACGGGTAATACTAATGTAGTGATATCCTTATTAATAGCTCTCTCTCACATTAAATTTCATACCATTGCTGAGCACCATCAAAGACTGCTGAGATCTTTTTTCCTCTCTGTTTTCTTCGTCCTCTGGCAATGATAGAGCCACTGATACCCCAGTGGCAGGAAAATGGGAGGTATTTACTAAATGCTTATTGATATCAATACCACTTTTAGAATCTTTTTCCTCTTTAACTGCTAGTTTGAGTGTCTTCAGTAGCATGAAGCTTTGAAGAAGCACTGGACTTGGGTCCTGGAGACATCTGTGTTACTGACAAGCAGTGTATCCTGGAGCAAATAAGTCACTTCCTCTCTCTGACCCTTAATTTTTTCACCTTTAAAATGAAGAGATTGGAGTCAGTGATCTCTAAGGTCCCTTTTGGCTCTAATGATTTATGAATACATACTATCTTACCTGAAATCTGCTGCAGACAAGTTCCTTTAAGCAAAAACAGCCTGGGTATGGAGGATCTTGCTAAATGCATAAAATACAAGGTAATGTAGGGGGAGGGATCATTGCTGATGGGAGTCGAGAGAGGTCTCAAGGAAGACATGGCAGTTGATCTAGGTTTGAGAATGTTCCAGACGTGAGCAGAGACAGAGCTTCCTGATTGTGCCCCGAGAACTGAGAAAAGTCCATTTTGGCTAGACCATAGAATGTGTTTAGGGAGAGTAGTATGAGGCATAGTTGGAAAGCTGAGGTGGCCCCCGATTTTGGAGGGGCTGGAATGCTAGGCTGAAGATGGTAAATTTTATTGTCTTAGACTAGATGATCTCTAAGATCTGTGGCTCTAGATGCTGTGATTT